AGTGTATGTAATAAGCAGTTCAAAGTTAAAAAGAATTATGAAGCTCATCTTCTGAATCATGAAGAAACAACTTCAGGCCTGATGGAAAAGGCAGCAGAAAATACAAATCTTGAGAAAGCTAGAAATCAGCGTGCTCAATGCACAGTCTGTGGGAAGTGGGTTGTGTCACAGAGCAGCCTAGAGACCCACATGAGATCACATACTGGTGAGCGTCCCTTCAAATGTGACAGATGCAATAATGCATTTATGCGAAAAGGTGACATGTTACGCCACATGAAGTCTCATACTGGTGAAAAACCATACGTGTGTCATTACTGCTCTGCGACTTTCTCAAGAAAGGACAAACTTGCATTCCACATCAAGAGGCATGATGAATCAAATGAGACAAGTGTATAATTCAGAGTTTTATATGAGCTTCATACCAGTGAGATATTGTTTTGTTTTGTATAAAGAGATGAGCATTTTCTATTATATTCAAAGTATATAAAAGAAAAGAAGAAAAAAGTTATATTATATTGTAAAAACTTTTTCACAGCCAGAATATTCAACAAAAGAAAAAAGATTAAGAGCAAAATCTAGTCACATACAGTAATATGAGTTGCTTTGCCAATTTCTCCCAACATGAACCATCCTTAGCTGTTGGAGTGCAATTTTACTTGTTTTACATATAGAGATGTATATTCTTCACATGATCATATAAGATAAGTACTTAGGACTTTATTTTTTCTTTGTGCCATTCTAATACTGAGTAATATTGAAAAAAATAGGGAATTCAATTAACTTGGAAGATGTTGTTTTTATCGCATTTTACTTGAAGTCGTTGGTTTTTATCACAAGGTTTAAATGAATCTTTTTATGGCACAGATACATTTTGTAATTCTAATTAATCTAAAATAGATCTTATCCAATCCACAGGGTGCTTTACCCTCCCCACCCCCTGCTCTTCCATAGTAGTTAAATGTTTGCGTGTTTTTCCCAAAAGGTAAACTGAAATTCCTATGGTTGATGTGGGTTCTTCATGGGGTCTGGCAAAAAATAAATGATATAAAATACAAGTACCAGTATCAAACTCAGGCATTGTGGAGTGTGTTGCAGAAAGTACATAACGCTCCACTGATGTGTCAGTTGTTAAAGAGTTCTGTATGGTATGTCTATAAAATGTAGTGTGATAAGAATAGCCATTTGTATGGGCATTTATGGGTAGTCACCAATATATTATTTGATTTATTCCTTATATATGGCATTGTAAAATATGTCAGTATCAGAAATAATGTTATGTAAATGATTTTTTAAAATCTGTGTTATATAAAAGGTATTGGATAGGGATATTGTTAAGAGTATATCTTGTTTATTGACATTGTCTATATTCAGATGGTTACAGGTTTTAGTAGATAGTAATGTTACCAAATGTTGTTTTGTTACACTTTTTGTATAGTTGTTGGTGTGTGGCAGTTACTTGATGTAGGTGGAAGAGTTTTGCTCAAATTCCCCTTTAGGCTGGTAATGTGATGCTGTTCTTTCTCCAGTAAAGAGAAAATATTAACCAGTGTATGATGACATTCTTAGGAAATAATTCTATTTTTTTCCTCAAAGCCACATCCAACTGCACCTCACGTTCTTGATATCACAGTTTATGAATCCTTTTATGCTTAACAGAAGACACTCTGCCATGTATAATTATAAAAATATGTGCTGCATCTGAATGTGTTGGTAGCATGAATGTAATAATACCTTTAATGAATATTTTGCAATATAATGATAAATTAATATTTTGTTCCTGTTGTTAATTAAGTTTGAGATTAGTTGTTTTACAGAGATGGTTGAAGGGAAATTTTAAGTATTATATTGGTAAATTCTATTGATTTTGTTTTGCAAGATCAACTTCAGATATTATGACTACTGTTTGTATGATTAATTTATGACACATTACTTCACTGGTACTCAGAATAACATTCCATTAACGCCATTTTTTATACTTCAGTACCAGGAATTATTTTGGTTATAACAACATATTGTCAACATATGTATTTCAGTTTCACAATTTGTGACTTTGATAGAATTGTGATGGTATCACTCCTGTATGGTCTTGGGAGGAGTTTTTAAAGATTGTTGAATAATAAGAGTTGTTATTTTCTTGAAATCTGAATATTTAGGACTCTCATTATATTTGTACTTGACTTAGGATATGCAATTTTCATATCAAAACAAAGGAAAAATAAGTTGAAAAATAAAATACACTGGGTAATTTGCAACAATTTTGGAGAGCAGTACGAGGGAGAATGAATAATTCAAATTGCCTTTTGAAATTTATCTGATTCAGGAGAATAATTACACATGGCAGTTTGTTGGTTACATTCTGAGCTGGAGTTTGTTGAGCACATACACAGATATGTTAAGATATGAGGTATTTCAAAGTTGTATGAAAGTAGTTAGCAAATTTGTACATAATGGCACTTCAGGAAAGAACAAGTCGAGCAGTTATCACTACTGCTTTGAAAGG